CTTTTCCTGAGGATGACACAAATGAGGTCCAGAGAAGCAATAACTCTCCTAAAATCTCTCATCTTGTTGGTAGAAATATTGAGACTAGAACCCTGGTCTCTTTATTTCAGTTCAAAGATCTTTTACCCTTATTATATTACAGGGCAGGTAGGACAGAGAATGTCCTAGTAAGGTCCTTGTTGGTATTTCCCAATAGCATCAGATCATCACAACAGCTAAGAAAAAAAGAAAATGAAGAAACTGAGATAAAGCATAACACCTTAATAGAAAGAACTGTAGGGCTACAGTGAAGGTGAGGATTTAGAGTTCTATCAGTTTGACCCTTGTTTTGTCACTGGCTGTATGTGTGGCCAGAATACCCACTTACTTTGTCCCTATTCTTGGAATATAAAAATAGGAAGAAAAATGTTATCAAATGACATTGGGCTGTTGTCAAGAAAAGCCAATAAAAATGATTACTCTAGCAATATGAAAGTGCTCCATGAAAGCTTAATAATCAACAGTATTTAAGAGGTATACCACTGAGTATCTGACAGGGTGCCATGTTTTATAAACAGCATTTATGGACTTCCACAACCAAAATTTTCATTCTTTGTGAGCTGTGTATAAATTCAGGAAGTGGTTGAAACCACATTTCAAATCAAAACTGCTCATGAGGCACCCTGCCAAATAAGTGTAAATATCCTTGGAAAGTCTCACATCTAACACACAGCTTGGTAGAAGTGGACCTATCTTTTGGAAAGCTGAAAAATAGATGGTTACCTTGGACCTTAGGGAAACTATTGTTCTGGGAAACATAAATAATTTTTAATCCAGAAATATGAGCTGGGTATTTCATTTTCTTACAAATAATTATCATTCTAGAAATTATAAATTTTGCTTCCATTCTCTTTGTTAATCATTTGAGTATCAGGACACACATTCTATAAAACATTTTTATAGTAAGTAGTAAACTGCATCTTGGCCCCTGAAGCACTGCTTCATTCATATTTTGTCCAAAGTGCATTGGTAGAGAGAATACCCCATACCAATTGCAGAATTTAATTGAGATTATAAATATGATTGTTTTCAATGTCATTCCCTGAATTTCACACTACCCCCACTATCAAGTAAGAATTCATTAAGGTCAAAAGACTATATCTTGTTTTTGTTTTGTTTTGGTTTTTCTGAGACAGGGTCTCACTCTGTCACCCAGGTTGGAGTGCAGTGGCACACAGTCATGGCTCACTGCAGCCTTGATCTCCTGGGCTCTGGTGATCTTCCTGCCTTAGCCTCCAGAGTAGCTTGGACTACACCACCACACTCTGCTAATTTTTTCTATCATCTGTAGAGATGGGGTCTCCTTCTGTTGCCCAGGCTGGTCTCAAACTCCTGGACTCAAGTCCTCCTGCCTCGGTCTCCCAAAGTGCTAGGATTACAGGCATGAGCCACTGCATGAGGCCAAAGGATCATATCTTACTCATCTTGGTGACCCGAATACCTAGCACAGAAGAAAGTTAACATAAAGAGAAGGGAAAAAGAAAGGAAGAATACAATAAAAGGAGAGAGAATGGGAAGGAAGGAGGGAGGAAGGAAGGATAAAAAAGAGGAGGAAGAGAGGTAGGGAGACACTAAGTTAATTTTTCTATTCAGGGAATGGCAAAAGGAAATTCTTCCCTCTTTTCTTGATCATTACTGATGGCATCAATTTGCAAGATGTACTGAGACCATGAAAATACAATGCAGCCAAGATCAACATGCAGAACATATGAAGTCACTCAGAACTCCACTTCCAACTAGCATCAGTCAAGGACCCTGTGGCAGTCACCCAATCAATATCACTGATTGATAGCCTTCTGGATAGGTTACCTTGGTAGTACCACATCACTGAATATGACCACAGTAGAGTCCTCTATTGGGGAAAATCAATAGGCTACCATGGAGAAGAGGAGACATAACAGAGAATTCCTTCACTGAGAGCCACTGAGCACAGTGGCACTGCTCGGCAGGAGACCCCAAGGACATAATCATTAAAGGGGGCTTGAAAGTTCTCTACTCATGGCTGAATGGGGCAGTGTCCCACAGATGTTTTAAATCCTCCTCTCCCTCTAAAGGAATCATTATCAGAGGTGCACTGAAATGTTTTGGTTCAAGGCACATAAAGAGCCGGGCAGGCAGAGTGACGAAGTAGGGCAAGGGGGACATACTTGGAGAATTTAAAACAATGACAATAATCAACCAACCTCAAAGATCAAAATACAAATGACATCCTCCCATAACAAACAGGTTGGTAGTAAGTAGTAAAAGAAGTAAAATAAATAACATTTATAATTCCTGCAATGTTTCCATAGGTATTAAAGTAATAATCATATCTGATCCAAAATTTTTAAGCCTGATACTGACAGAAATTATTTTCTTGGATTCTCTCTTTGTACCTATTTTGCCCCTTACCCTATTGCACCCTCTTAGACTGTCTGTCCATGCCCCTCCAGGCAGCTGTAGAATCCTTAAGTAACCCATGGTAGCCACACATTTCCAAACAGTACAGCCCAGTGGAAAATGCTGCTACTTTAACCCAGGTTAAAATGAAATACAGTGGAAGAAAGAGGAAATGCAGTACAGGGCACCGGGGAATTTGGACCTGATATGATGTGATAGATATCCTTGTCATCTCTACCTTCTGTGATCCCATGAGATTCATCACAGCGGGGTAATTTGTGCTTGTCACATAGAGCAGGCAAGGCTAATAGATACCTCAATCCAGAAAGAAACGACAGGCAGCATTTCTGAATCTAACCAAGAGGACAATACCTACCCAACTCTAAGAAATAATGTAAATTGCCCTTTGTGATTACCTTCAAGTTGAACTTCACCTATTTTTTCAATCACCTTTGAATGCACACGATAAAGTCTGATTAATTAAGATATTTTTCAGTCAGAATCTGTAACATTTAGGGCAGAGAAGAGTGCTGTTTGCTTTCACTGGCCAGACACATTTTTAATCAAATAAATGAACAGAATAAGCAAATATGCAAGAGAAATATATAAATGAGTGAACAAATTATTATCTATAATTTAAATTTCATCAATTTATATTCACTATTTGACATTTGTTGACAACTTACTACATAAAATATTTCTTTAATTCATTTGGAGTTATCGTAACCTGAAAAATAATAAAACTTAATTTCTTGTAAAATATATATTAGACTTCTTACTGATTCAAGAAATCCTTCTATCAACCCAAATCATAAGCATATACCTAAAATAACATCATGTCTCTGTTTCTCACAACTTTAGAAATCCCAGTTAAAAAATATGGTTTGTGCCATGTCAGATCTGTTCTGTATTTAAAAGCATGATTAATTTCTAAGATTTATGAAAATGACACATTACGTAACTTGTCTATATGCAAAGTGATTTCCAGACATTATATCTGAGGCTCAAAGCTTAAATCTAAAGAAAAGTAGTTAAGTTTTGCTTTGCTGAGTAAATTAAAACTCACACCCCACTTTTTATCACATGCCTTACCTTTTCCAGGGAAAAATTCCCATCTTCTAAACCTCAATGTCTGGCCCCTGGGACAGTTGTGTGGTTAGAATAAAGATTCAAAATGAAAAGAAGCATATGATTTATCCAGAGCTGGAATATGCTAATAACAATGTTAATTAATATTATCTGGCATCTTATTCACAGAAATTTAGGGATAAGATGAAAGAAGTGTAGACCTAAAATATCTAGAATACCACCTACCATATTGTAGTATCTGATTTTGGAGAAATGTATATCAAAGTAAATGTCCAATCATTACTTTCTCAATCTGATGGTCAGATATCAAAACATTTCTCAGACCATTCCCATGGAATAGTTTTTCTCCCAAGGAGCACACTGTGGCTCAGTCTGTATTTGGACTGTTGGATGACAAACATCATTGGTTAAACCGAGGCGCTTCCAAAGGAGTAAACCCAATCTTTTAAATGGACATAGAAGAAACTTTATCTTTGAGGATCTTTGGGGCTGGAAAGTATTTATGGGTCATATTAGACTAGAGAAAGATCATGGAAACTGTTGGCCTCCTTTACCACTGTGGATGTGTTGGAGATGAGGGAAGGATCTAGTCTCCAGGGACAAAGCTCTGTTGAATTTATCTTGCTCTGGGAATATTCTATTCCAATTCTGCACAATTGAGCAGTAATAGTGAAAACACTCCAACTTTCAAGTTACAGTTCCAAACTGAAGAGAATCCAGTACCTTTTTGTAATCATAGGAACCCTCAATTATTTATGCATATTGTAGAAAGTTGTGTCTTCAATAATAAAATGATTATTTATGTTTGACTTCACAACATATTCTGTATTTGGGGTTTTTCTTTTGTTTTTGGCAACATCGACAGACTTATTTTCCCAATTATGTTTGACCCCAATTAATGTTACAATTAACATTCTCTCAGCATACCCACATATACACACACTACTCACCAACTGATGGTGGAGAGAATGCCCAGAAACATAATATGAGATAGGGAAGGGTGGTCTGAGATTATACATTTGCTGCCAGCAATTCACACACTAGATAATCTGGATCAAGAAGAGGATGGCTGTATTTATACCAGGCATTTTCCAGAGCCAAATAATCACATTAGCTAATTCCCATCCATATAATATATGTAGCCTCAGTAATTACTTATTAAACTAAGTCTATCAGCACACAGAATACTTTTTTAAAGCAGATTTATCTAGTTTGACTGCATATGTCTATCCAATTAAGATAATTGCCAGATCTTTCTAGTACTGGCTGCTACACAGACCTGCCTGAGTCCTCTCTCAGGCATGGAGATATTTGGGAATGTAACCTTAGCTCTTAGTCCTGCCACTTTGGGAAATTAAGCACAGCTTCCCTTGATTTCTGGAAAACACCTTCTAGACTTTTTCCTCTCCCTTGATGACCCAGGTGGCCTGGCCTTCCGAATAGCAACTCCCCTCCCCATCCACCCATTGCATCTGACCCTCGCGGTTGCTCACCTATGTTCTCTTCGGCTTGGCTGCTCTCCCCAGTCTCCGTTGGAGGCTGGGCTGTTGCCTTGGCAGCAGCATCCTCTGCAGCAGGGGTGGTGGCAGCAGCAGCAGTGACAGCAGCAGGCACATCGGCTTGTTTAGGCTCCTCCTTGGCTGGGGCATCTTCGGCCTTGGAGGACGGCGAGTTATCAGTGGAAGCTTTAGTGGCACTTTCTGTCTCAGCTGAGCCGGCCTTCTCCTCTGAGGATGCAGGAGCCTGAGGGGCTGCCTGCTCTGTGGCAGCATCACCCTCTCCCTTCTTCTCCTCGGAAGGAGTTTCTCCTGCTTTGCCGGGTTCATCAGGCTTGGAGCCAGTGGCTGGGGCTGCTTCGGTAGCAGTGGTGCCTTCTCCCTTCTTCTCCACCCCATCGGCAACAGGGGCTTCATCCTTCTTATTGGCTTCAGCCTCAGCAGCTTGAGCATCATCCTTCTTCTCTCCTTTGAGCTTTTTCCTCGTTATGTGTCCACGGAAGCTAGCCTGAATTTTGGTCGCGGCCTTATGAGCTTTATCTTCTGGTTTGATACCATCTTGTTCAATCTTTTGGTCCTCATCATTTTTTTCAACCTTTGTGGAGAAAAGAGGGGAAAAAAAGGAGAGGGCTCCAGTGATGTTCTTCTCCTTTAAATCTCAGCATTCAATAAATATTTATTAAGTGATTTATTTTGTGCCAGGCACTGTTTGTGGAGTTAAGAATTCAACAGTACTCTGGAAGTTCAAGTCAAGCCTCATCTTTTCCCCACAGTATTGTATGGGAAAAGTAATGTCCTTTGGACCTTCCAGAATCACTGGCAACTTTTTTTTTTGAGATAGAGTCTCAGTCTGTCACCCAGGCTGGAGTGCAATGGCATGATCTTGGCTCACCATAACCTCCGCCTCCCAGGTTCAAGCAATTATCCTGCCTCGACCTCCCAAATAGCTGGGATTACAGGAATGTGCCACCACACCCAACTAAGTTTTGTATTTTGTAGAGACGGGGTTTCACCATGTTGGCCAAGCTGGTCTCAAACTCCTGACCTCAGGTGATCCACCCACCTCTGCCTCCCAAAGTGCTAGAATTACAGGTGTGAGCCACTGCATCCGGCCACTGGCATTATTGTCTATGTATTTCCTTTCCCGAGCTCAATGTTGCTCCACGTCAAACTTAAACCAGCCTTTTTTTTTAGATGTACTTTGACAACTCAAATCACATTTACAGGCTGGGTACAGTGGTTCACACTTGTAATCCAAGCACCTTGAGAAGTGAAGGCAGGAGGAACTTGAGCCCAGGAGTTCGAGACCATCCCTGGCAACATAGTGAGACCCCATCTCTACAGAGCTGGGTGTGGTGGCATGCACCAGTGGTCCTGGCTACTCAGGAGGCTGAGGCAGGAGGCTCACTTGAGCCTGCAAGGTAGAGGCTGTGTGAGCTGTTGTTGTGTCACTGCACTTCAGCCTTGGTAACAGAGTAAGACCCTGTCTCAAAAAGCAAACAAACCAGAAACAAAAACAAAACACGAATCACATTCACCCCAGGTTTTTATCACAGACCTCTGAAAGATACAGGGTTTTCAGGGTTTTTGAGAAGGACTTTGTATAAAACTTTATGGCTTAAAAAAATAGTATGCAAAAGTCTACTTTCCCCCCAAGTTTTAAGCCTGATAAGGAAATTAATAAATTCAAGACAAAGAGTATAGTAAAAGTTTAAACCATAAATCCCATCAGGATTTTATGCAAAATGCAAATGAGTTCCACGTCTTTAGGGGATTTGTTCAGAATGTGACAATTTACAATGCTGGTCACAAAATAACGTCTAACTTTCTCTTGCATGTGGTCCAACATTAATAATAAACATACCAAACCTTCAAAATCTGAATAAAAAAAGACCATTATTCCTGAATTTTAAAAAATGATGGGAAACACTGTTTCTCCTTTTGAAAAAGCAACATATATTCACTAAGTCACAATTCCTTATTCCCAAAGCAATTGGGAACCTAAAATGTGTTCATATTATCATCAATAGAGCCATCTTAGTACTAAGAGACTAGCATATAGAATTTTACCTTTTGATGGCAACATTTGTAGCTTAATGTATGCTGCAAATGACTATTTTCCACATGAAAATTAAATCAGAGGATAGGAACAGCAGGTATGGTCATAGAAAGAATTGTGTAGGCAAGTACACAAAATTCTATCCAGTTCCATTGTTTACCATGGTGCCCCAACATGCCTACTGATAGTCTCCATTCTTAAATTTCTTTAACTTTCGAGCATTGAACTTTTGTTCACTTTTGTGAACACTGTTCTAGCAGAAATAATAGCAAAGAACAGCATAGCAACTTTCCCTCAAAAGACCACTAATAAAAGAGTGTTTATCATGTAACATGTTTGGAGTCTGTTCTCAATCTTGGATTGGCCTTGACCTTTGCTCCATTTTAGGAGGTAAGCTAATACAGAACAACTCAGGACAAGTTTTCCACCTGTCAAACCAGCTCTGCCCCACTGACCCAGCTCCTGCTAATCATGATGTGGGACTGTTACACATTCTTTGGACAAGCATACAGACCTGTTGCTGCATAGGACCATCAACATACCAGTGGATACACAAAAGTATTTTTGAAAAAGAGATACATGTAAGAGTAAAAGTAGGTTTGATAATTTTCTCAGTCAAATTCAAGTCAACTTTTCCTTCTTCCTTAGTTAACCATGCATGTATATACATGAAGATTAAAGGAGTAAGTGAAAAGCACTTTGGAGAGGCCCGTCTTGCTCCCTCCTCCACTACTCAGTTCTCTGATGTACTATCACCTTCTCGCTACCCTGCTGCTCTTGATGACACCTACTGGGATGAGCACAGCCCAATCTGAGACACGGGAGCAGCTGTCCCTGCCAGGAGCTCTCTGCTCAGAGATGGAAGCATAACCCTGTAAAATTAACAGTTGTGAATGGAGCATGGAGCCAATATGTTGATAATTTATTTTACTCTATCTTGAGTTTTCTGAATGAAGCACCATCTTATATGTTAGGACACCTGCACTTGGGTATTGATGCCAACTGGTTCTTTAATACAAATACTGTTCTTTGTGAAAGTAGACAAGTCAATTGTTTCAGAAGGGGCAGGTGTCCACAAAAGGCTCCCTAGTGACTCAAGAAAGCTAAAATTTTAGATCTCTGTCTTTTCTTTATGAACATAAGGCATAGGGGGATGAAACTCTTGAAAATCTGGAAATCACAAAGAGAAGGAAGCTGAGAGTCTACATGATATACAGAAAGAAATTACATGGATAAAAAAAGGGCTCTCAATTTTCTCTCTCCTCCTCTTTCTCTCTCTCTCTCTCTCTCTCTCTCTCAATTTTTTAAAGCATCTGCAACTCTGATTTTCTAAAAAATCAGAATTTAAGCTTCTGAACACAGAATCTATGACTAGGGTGACAAGATTGTGAGACAAACCTCACCTAAACAACCCAGAAGTATAAGAAATTCAAGGGAAGCAGGAGTGAGCAGAATGGGGGAGAATCATGAAAAACAAGAGTTAGGAGAGAGAGGGGAAGACAGTCTTATAACAGCCAGGTACCCAAATAAGTGACTATCCCCAAAAAGATGCTCAAAGTACTCCACAAGCATGTAGCTCATCCTGGAGAAACTGCTGGACTTCATCATTAGAGATTTAGGAAAACTAAATTTTACAGATTAGTTGGGGGGGGAAAAAAAAGACAATTAATAGAAGTTTTTCCAGATAGCAGTAAAGAAACAGACCCAGGGAAAGGAAAGGAAAGGAAAGGCAGGAGAGAGGAAGAAAGGGAAGGGGGAGGAGATGAAGAAATGAAAGAAGAGGGGGGAGGAAAGGGAAGGAAAGAAACCAGGCTAAGAAGAGGGCAGACTTCAGTGACGGAACAGAGACATCCATAAATAAAAATACTTTAAGGTAAAACTGGGTTCAAAGCTAGACAGCACTGGATTGTGTTTGTGTGTCTTTCTTTTGTATTTCTAATTGATTCTATTAATACTCCTTAAATTACAGGTTATTTCCTGGTAAAATTCTTTTCACAGTACAGTATAAAGGAAAGTGGACTGGGAGTGTATTTTGTTGTATATTTTGTTAAGGAGAAAAAGAACATTTCCCAAAACTGGCTATGTGGAGTAGCCCCAGGTTCTGAGAACACTTCGACCCTTTCCCCACTAGAAATAGAAGAGCTTACTTAAGATGAAGGACATTCAAGCCCAGAGAAACCAGAGACTACTCAGCACATTCAGCACAATACTTTCACTTTCCAAAAGGGGCAGCCCTGGCTCTGAAAAGTTAAGTGACTTGCCTAAATTCACAGAGCAAGTGAGGGAGGCAGCGGCCCAGCTTGTATTCGACCTCAACTCTTCTCCCCTCCCACCTACCTTCAAGTCCAATTTTATTGCATGACTGACCTGGAATAGCTTGGACTTACTTGTAGTAGATAATCCACAAGGCTTCACCTCAGCATTTTCATTCATTTATTCATTTAAAAATATTCAGTGCCTCTGTGAAGCACTGTACAAATGCTACTGAATGGAAGGATACTGTGTCTACTCATATAGAATCTTTTTGAAAATACACTTAAACCACACCATAGTACTTTAACAATCAGTTACTTCCCAGGAATTTGCAGTAGACACCTGATCTTACACTCATCTTTTCAAGTGAGGACAACACTCTAAAACTGTGAGTTACAGATGAAATGTCCAGAAAAAGAATCCTGGTATCTAAATGGCTAAAAAGTCAGCTCATAAATGTCACTAAAGATAGATTTATTTTTTAAACTAAGCCTTACCACAAATAAGCTTTGTAATGAACTCAAATGTTTCTGAGGGAATTTCAAAGTTATTTAATTCTTACACAGAATTGTTGATATCTACGAATTAAGTAAAGAGGACATTCCAATGCAGTACATTAGAGGTAGGAAGGATGTCATTATGAGTTACTGTAAGTTTTTCAGGAATCTTTATTGTTATGGCTTAATAGTTCTTTGATTTGTTTGAGAGCTCTGCAATTTATGATGTCTTAAAGGAAACCAAGGTATAGAACATCCCTACTTTTTAAACAAACATTAAAATCTCAGATGAATATTGGTTGGAAAATGAAGAGTACCATTATACTAACTTGTTGACACTAATGAAATTTCTAAATCCATTAGACGAATAAACAATAATTTTAACTGATATTTACAAATTACAGATAAGAAAGCCAGAAATAAGAAGTAATTACTTAAATATCCAACATTGTTGCTCTGGTCTTCTTTTCCTTTGGGGAAAGGAGGAATGGACAACTTAAGATTTATTCTAAAATGTCCAAATGTTTGCATTCAACATGTTACAAAAGAGCTCTAGGCAAAAATCCATGAATGGCTAACTTTCAGAACTAAAAATAACATCATCCATTCATCTGGGATACCTCAATGCATTTCACTTTTCCCCATTATCATAGGAACGCCTCAACCTTCCAAGCAAATTAAAACTTGGCCCTGTATCTACTTCTGCTAGCTATAAATAATACTATTATAATACTTAAATTTTTAAAAAACAGGATTGAATTTTAAATGTATTACAAATCATTGATG